CTATTTTATCCCTCTTCCGCGACGAGATTGAGGACCGACACGATGTCCTCCCCTAATCGCTGATTCCAAAACCCTTGGCTAACCCTAAACATTCCTTAATAAATCTCTAAGCTCCGGCTGATTCGGCAGGGAATAACCCATGTAATTTTTCCCCCCGTAAATTCCCTTAAATTCCCTAATCTCCTGCTAATTCCGGAATTAGCGGGGAAAATCCTAAAAATTCTAAACCGTCCTAACGTAACCTCCGGTCCGTCCGGGACAATCGCGAAATCGTGATTTCATGTCACTGGTTAATTAATTATCAAATTTCCTCCACTGGTGTGGGATTCGCGGGTTGGGCGCGGCTCTCTCTCTCTCAAAAAAAAACGGTGTATGTCACAGTTGGTACCTGCGCGTTATTGTTCTGTGATGCATCGCAAAGGGCGTGTTCCGCCAGGGAACAGTACAAGTTGAGTAATAGTAATTTCTAGTGCATTTTAGATTTGGTAACTAGAGGTTGGTACTGTTACTGGAGTTGTGTTTCACACGGCTAGTAACAGTAACAAGTGATGTCACTAACTAATAAACAGCGTTCAACGCTGAAGTCTTCCGTTAAGGCCCGGATGGAGGGAATTTTTTCTTGATTGGCGATTTTACGCCCTCCTACTTCGCGGTCAAGAACCGAACCTTGATCTCAAGCGGTGCCTTGTCGGTAACTACGGCAATCACTGGAAACCAGGGAAACATTGGACAGTGGGGCTTTCGAGGCGCCGGAAAATTTTTTCATTCCCTATGCCACTAAGTGACATGAGAGATTTATATCTGAACAGGGCGGAGAGGGGGCGAGGTGGCGGGGGGGGGGAGATGTATCCAAATGTGGAATCCACTTTTTTCGACCATCACTAAACCTCTTTTGAGATGATCGATGGGATAAAAAAAAAGTCTCTACAGGGGTAACTAAATCGACTCAGGGGGTGATTCTGAGTCGATCTGTACCTTTAAATTTCGACCTTTTTTTTCACCCTCACTAACCCTCCCTCAAAATGACCGATGGGATAACAAAAAATGTCTCCACAGGGGGAGGTAAATCGACACAGGCGATGATTCTGAGTCGATCTGTACCTATAAATTTCGACATTTTTTTTTTCACCCTCACTAACCCTCGGTCCACAGGTGTATGCAGATTGATTCACGGAATGATTAGACGGAGTTGCGGAGTCCAATCAGTGTATTGGAAAAAAATAAAAATAGAAGGGTGAACTGAGTGCATTGGAAAAAAATTAGGGGTTGAGGGTGGGAAGAGTGTGCCAGGGTGCAAAGGAGATTCATGGTGGGATGAATTCAGTCGGCAAAAATGATGGTTGAGGGTGGAATGAGTCATGGGGAAAATGAGGGTTGACGGTGGGATGAGTCTGGCAGGGTAAAATAGAGGGTTGATGGTTAAATGAGTGGAAGGAAAAAAT